TATATAGTAGATGATCATAAAGTTAGGGGTAACTGGGAAATGGAACAGTTAAGGAAATCATAGTCATTTGTGAGGAACTACAATAGAAAGTCCAGAGGAGTGCACTTCTTCCTGCCAAGGATGGGGATAATAAGAAACGGCCTGCAGACAGAATTGTGGCCAGCGTTCTCCTTCCTGAACACCATGTTGGCATGTACTAGTTAGAATAAAAGAAAAAAAAATAGGAAAAAGAAGAAGGACAATTTATGTGCGCTAATTTTTCGCGGTATATGGAACACTATTTATCGTAGTGTAACGCACTTTACGATGTCCCGCTGAGTCACTTGTGCTGATGGCAGATCGTCAGCATTTATTATTATAAATACTGTCTCTAGTGCAGCCTGGTATATTAAGTATGTCGGCATGGTGGTCAGAAAAGTGATAATAAAGGGGCGACAGTGGGAGTTGTTGTCGTCGTCGTCGTCGCTGTGAAGTCAATGGTACCAAAACGGATATAGTAGATGCGTTGCATTGTATCAAAGAATTGTAAGATTTTTTTTTATGTAAATGGTTCGTTATAGGTAGTTTGAGAGGAAAACAAGACATGGTAATAGAAAGAACGATTAAATAGAAGTAGATCTAATTAACAACAACCATAAGAGTTGTCACAGCTGTCGTTCGAAGCATTTGAAGCATATCTGGGAAAACTTGGGGAAACGCTTGGACTAAGGACACGTGACGCATGAGCCGAGAAGACACGGTTTGTTGTAATGAACTAGATCACAACTCCGTGATCTGTGATGAAATCAAGAAATAGAAATAAAGAAGACGTGAACGACTGGGCATTTGTGTAAAATATCCGCTGTGTGCATGTGTGCGAGGGGCAGACAGAGCATTACGTGTCGCATCTTGTATGCGATTACGTTGTTGTAGAATAAACAGGGAGCGCTTGAATGAGTGAGACAATCGGTCAAAGCAGAACTCTATCTAAACATTTGAAGACCACTGCAGCACATGCGACCGCGTCCTTGTTGGTGCCTGATAGGATGGAACAGGATAACTTCGCCACTAAGGATTATCAGCCTGAATAGAAGTTTAATGTATGTATCAACGCAGTGCCATGATATCAAGATCTCGACTAAATTATAAGGATGACTAGAAAAGAAAAGGGTACCGTCAAACACTTCCCATCGATTGTAATAAGCATAATAAAAAGACTAATATTGAAAGAGAGAGGCATGTATTAATGATAAAAGTAAACGCATCATAATGATTATACTATATATCATATCACTCCCCCATGTTCCAACTTCTATTTATTAAAAAAAAAACTGAATACAGATCGCATGGCAATATGGCTTGACGCAGTCTAGGTATAGATATTAAAATTTATTCTGGCAAGTAAATAAAATGAGGCTAATGCAAACAATGGCTCCTAGCAGAGTCTCCGGATCGACCTATCGACTTATTTACACCTTTGTCAGGTGTATATTTAACATGAATGTATTGATTAATACGCAATTTCAGTATAGGTATATGGACTGCAGGGTAAAGGTTTCGCCTTTGAAAATCGCAGAAGAACAGTGACCACCGTGGCACCTAGCGCCAAGCTCGTTGAGGCAAGTGCGTTAGCAGCCGTATCCTCGTCCATTCGAACCTACTGTCGCGCCTAAACAGCCATTACACCAGCATGTCCTACTTAGTTTCTTCTAGGTACCATTCATCGTTGCACCAATTACAAAGAAAGATTCGCGCAACAAAGATGAATTGTTTATAGCGCGCGGTTTCCAATGAAGTTCAATGGAATTGAGAAGCTAAACTAGATAACTGTAGATGATCATGATGATGGTGATGACTGTTAGGTGGTTTTATAGCATAGCGTATTGCCCCGCACTTGCGCCCGGACAGCGTCTAAAGAGGGTCTAGGCTTTTTAAATTTATTCCTTCTGTTTACAATTCTTCTTTGTATCGCTTTCGCTCCTTATAATTCCTTCATCATATAATGCTAGGCAAACGCAGAAGACTGAAGTGTCTGTTATAAGCGTGTACAGGAAATAAGGAAATGAAGCAGGAAGATCGTGCCCTTTCCTCGAAGTCACCGACTTGAGTGAGACCTCCTTGATTGCTGCTGTTGCTATTGCTGTAGACCAGCGGCCTATACTCTATGGCGACAAAGTAGCATGGCCACTGCCCCTTGCTTTTCGTATCCACTCCTCTGTCGGTCTCTTCGTCGTCACTGGATCCTATCGTGCAGATCGACCGATATTATTGGACAACGGTAGCAGTACAGGCGGATGAAACAGCAGGGGGCAAAGTGAATAGGCGTAGCTACTACACTACAACAAAGACAGGCCCAGAGTTCCGTCCGGTGCCAATAACAGCCGATATAACGCGACTAGTAAGAAAAAAGGAAGAAGGAAGAAAAAAAGGGGCAGGGGCGGGGCAAATTGCAAGACTTGGCCTCAAAAGGGCACTGCGAAGAAAAGCCGGACAGAAGGAGAATGCAGAAGACGAGTACACGATAACAGAAGGCTGCACGCAGCACGACTTGTATGCAAATAGATGATGGTGCTAGTAGATGCTGCTAGAGCGATTGACGAGACGAATAGGGATGACAGGATAGGGACGAATTTAAGGATGGCGTAGTCGTCGGTGGGCGTATAATAGTCGACGGAGAGCGCTGCCGGAAATGAAACGCTGGCAACGGAAAGACAGTAACGCGAGAATATCAGAATATGGACTACGGTATGAGAGGAATTATAGGAGGTGTCATTGGTTGGAGAAGACAAGGCTTTGACACGGGAGTCGCTGCTGGAGAAGAGTTTCCAAAAAAGGTAGGCTGTGCATACGCCTTGACCGAATGGCCTCACACCGTAATAGATATCTTCGAACTGCGGATACAGTCAGGCGACCGTAGGCGACATGTCATTGAAAATGTCAATGTAATGCATCAGACGCATGTGCTCATTCAGCTGTTCTATTTTTTGCGTTCATTGCTAAACACATCATTTTAAGCTGATGCATAAGCGTCTTTGTCTACTGCTGTCCTTTTTTAAATTTTCTTTTGTTTATGGATTATCATATGCCATTCTCACTCTTCTTATCACATGCATTTTTGAAATCATACCCTTCCCCCGGTGTCGAAATACCTCGAATGAAAGGCAAGAGATGTATTGCGCATACGAAAAGAACCCTAGGGTTAAAAGATATAGGTTTATCTTATAATTATCTCTCTAAAAAAGTGACTTAAAGCAATCCTTGGCAAGTTAGGACAATCAAGCGCCATTATTGGACTTGGCAAGCTACCCTTGAGTAGTGTTGTGCGTTACAGGATCCTCGCCATGCACGCCATGCCTATTTCGGCTTCTTTCCCCAGCCTTTTGTCCCCTATAAAAGACGAAGAGACGTATCGAAAATGCGCTTGTTTTTATTTTTAACCAAACATGACGATCATGGAGTTTTAGCTCGAGATAAGATGTCTGTCATTTAAACATAATTATGCCAGTGAAAAGCCAGCAATGTGTAATACTTGGCCGTCTGTATGCAACGCATCTAAAATGAAAACTGTCGTTGCTTGTGTATGTAAATAAAACCACCAAATCATTGGACCATTTCCATTATCGGTAAAGTTTGGAGCAATGCTTTCAAGTTATGAATTTGCCCAAAGCTATTAGTACTAGGTGCATGCACTGGTATAACAACTCCCGCTTACATTCATAATGCGTTCTTTACTTTTAACCAATGCTAAAAATTGGTTAATAGCTTATGGCTCGCTTGCAAAGCACCGCTCATTAAACCGAACCTAGAGATACTCAGCGGTATTTAAATTAGACGACTCTAGTGACCGCTTGACCTTACGATACGTGGGTCGTTCTTAGACAAAGGAAGCGGGTCCAGATCCAGCCTACATATAGCATACCGGCCTCGATATGTAAAAAAAAAACGCGCGCGCATTAACCATATGCGAAAACACAGATAACAACGAGTTTACTCACACAATACATATATACATTCTGTATTCTCTAGTTGTGTGTAACTGTAACGTAGCTGCGTAAGAAGTTGGCATGTTAAGTATATAAATCTCACCTATTTCGATCGCGCATAATTAACGAGATCTTTGCAAGTTAATATAAACGATTCACTTTTACTCGTGTTTTCGTCAAATGTGCTGGAAGATTCGTTCGCACACTTTTCTCAACTGTATAGTACTTTTGAGGTGCTAAAAAGAGGCTATCGCTAAGAAGCTCCTTTAGACATCCTACGCTTTCCTTATGAGAAAATCCATGAGGTTTTTTGGTGGAGCCCGAACTCGTAGGTTTTTTAAGAACCGTGTCTAATTTTCGTAGATTTCATTTTATTTCAGACATATAATTGATCATTGAATCATTTCTTTTTGGCCTGATTCTTGTCTAGAGAACCGGCTAGAAAACATGTGGCGATCATGATCAAATGTAAAATATGCAATCCGACTGATTGAAAGTTCTTCACGAATTCAGCATTGATAGTGACGATACTTGCAATTGTTACTAATACTGAGGATACGCGTATCGCCCATGTCCATGCTAGTGTAGTGGTAATATATTCGTCTACCAGGTGGTTACGTTTAAATCTGAACAAATTAACCTGTGGGCAAAAATCCGAATAGCTATTACAAAGGCAATAACCCTGTTGCAGTAATATCTTCCTTTGCTGCATTACATCAAATTGTTTGTATTAGGCGGCCTATCCTGTTGGGTTCCTGCAATACCTAAGCCTGCCTTGAAACGAATAGATGAAAGAGAGACAGAGGATTAGCTACATATATAGCTTCTTATAGCCTATTAAGAAGATATATATAGCTTCTTGCGGGCATCATCAGAAAAATTCGTGCAGTGGTCGGGTAGATTTCGGCGTCGACATGCCCGTCAAAGACA